TTGATTTCCCCCCCCCCGCCGCTGCCTGCTCCTTCCTCTCCTGTGGCTGACGGGAGGCTCCTTTCTTGGCAGCACTGACTGTGCCGCCCTCACAATAGAAGGATGCTGTTCATTTCCTCCTCCGATTGGCTCACGTGTCTCTGATCCCCGTCCAACAAGTGGAGGGTTATACAAACGTGCTGAGCCAGATACTTCCCCTTTGCGGCGGACTTGGGTTCCTCCTGCCGACCGCCCGGCCATCTTGCACTGTTCAGCGTTCGCGGCGGCGTCTTTCCGCAGAGCCACTGGCCGAAAAGCCAGGTTGCCGTGTGCTGGTTTTAATGCAGCCCTGCGATCGCACGAGCGAGGCCCCTGCACAGACAGTGACTGGGGAAGCCTTGGATGGGGAGGGGAGAGGGGGAGTGTTCAGCTTCTAGCCTGCGGCACAAGAGGGCCCTTAATGCCATGTCACAGCTCTCCAGATCTGCTTCTGTAAAGATCTTCCCCCAAATCAGGTTGTGCTCTGCAGCCCATACGCTGCAGGGGAAAAGCGTGGGCTCCTAGTCCCTCTCCAGCCCTCCAGCAGGGAGGAGGGCTTGGTTATTAAAGCAACTGCTGGGAGTCAGGGTGCTTGGGTGTGCTCTTTGACTCTGCCACCGATTTCCTGTGTGACCTTGGACGAGTCACTTAACACCTCGGTGCCTCGTGGGGTGGCTGCATTCACGGTGGTGTGCAGACCACGTGTGGCTAGTGCGAGTGTAAATAGTGGTGTGGATGGCAAGACACCGCCTAGGCCAGGCCGCCTGCATCTACCCAGCAGTTTTTAGCACTGCGTGTCTTGCTCCCTCGGCTTTCGCTGCAGCTCGTAGCTGCTCGGGGGTGCCCGTACCCCGCGCAGACGTCGCTTCCGTTTCCTCACCCCTGAATAGCAGCTAGTTCCACTGTCCTGCATCGCGGGCGCTCCCGCCAGAGGCAGTGTGGCCCTGCGGGCAGGGCACGAGGCTGGGAGCCAGGAGACCTGGTTCTGGTTCTGGCTCTGAGTGACTTCAACGAGCTTCCCTCTGGTCCCCAGTGAATGGAGCCGGGCTCCCAGGGAATGGGGGGGAGGTGGCCCCGTGCATGCTTGTGGCATGGCTGTCAGACCCTGGGGCTGTTCTTCCCCTGGGCGCGGCTCAGCCCCAGAAACAGCCAGTGGCCCACACTGCAAAGGCCCCTTGACACCCCTGTAAGGGGGCGTCCCTGGCACGCGTGGGCTGCAGCACCCCCTTCTCTTTGGCATGGCGGGGAGCTGCAGGGGCCGTGCTGCCCTGGGGTGGTTAAAATGCCCCTTCTCGAGAATGCTCAGCTGCGTGGATTCCAAGGCACCCAGAGAGCACCATGCCACGGAGCCTGCCCGTCAGTCGAGGGGGTCCTGTCTGTCCCTGGGTGCCCCCCAGGTCTCCGAAAAAGTGCTGGAGCAGGACATGCAGACTCGGCAGCTGAGCCAGGCCCAGAGGGGTGGGAAACCTTGTGTCCTGCAGAAGGGGCGTGGGGCTCGTGGCTGGGGCAGTGGCCTCCTGAAAGCCAGGGGGCTGTTTGTCCTGTTTGTCCAGCTCTTTGCGTGGCCCCCGCTGTATCACGGAGGGTCTTTCTATGGGATGTCGGAAAGCAGCTGGGGATGTTAAAACGCAAGTAACTGGCTGTGTAACCACTGAAAAAAATTCAGCGGTTACATTCACCCACCGTGTGGGGCAGTCAGCAGCTCCCCGGGAGGCAGTACGTGCCGGGAGTACCCACTCCCGCCTGTTGCCTTGCTCCCAAGCAGCCAGCTGCTGTCCCATGCTGCTGCCTCTGGTACAGAGGTAACAGTGCAAGGCAGCAGCTGGCTCCCTGGGAGCTGATGTGCCCCAGGAGCTGTCTCCTGGCCCCACTTCTGGCTCTCAGCTCTGCCCCCAGGGAGCCTGCAGCGCGGGGTGGCAGCCAGCTCCCCGGGAGCCAGCGGGTAACTGATGCATTGAGACGGTTGCAGTTGCAGCCCTAGTCCAGGCGCTGCCTGAGTCCCGGCCGAGCTGCCCGGTGCGTTTCCGTCGAGTTAGGCTGCAGCGGGCGAGAGTTGAACCCCCACCCGGGAGGCCACCCCTCTGCCTTGTGCCCATTGCCATTCTGGCCCATTGCCGCGTGGGCGCGC